GTAGCGGTGCAATTACAACTCAACTCAAGAATCTAAATTTGCCCCTGGTTTCACATATTTTGCACATATAGACCCTCAGTTGTATCTAAATTCACTTAAATACCCTGAAGTTTCTATAAATTGTACTTTTCGTACAAATTCCAGAGTCATTGGTGCTTAGGAGTAATAGTGCTCGAGTGCTGCATAGTTACAAGAAAGTTACATGCTGAAGGAATTGAAATCTAAAGAGGATATTGGCGTACTTGGGCTACGTATTTTGCTTGGTTTGTCGGTGATTGTGTAGAGGTTTAACACTACTTGATTCGTTTGTGGTGTGAAGTAATTTGGGGCTCTCATCAGGTTCCCTCAGTCATGCAAACATGATAATTCTCCCTCAAAAACTCTCATGCAATGCTAATTTTAAAACACTTTAACTCATACTATTTATTAAATTTACTATTAAACCTATCAAAATATTTAAATTTGATTAAGCCTTTTTATATTTGTGGTTCATTTGTAGTTATCTTTATGAGTGAACATTGTAATATATATTTATACATGACAAGGATAATAACTTTAATTATCCATTGTATTAGATAAGTTATTATATAATTAAAAAATTTAGAACAAGAAACAAATACAAATTCATGTGCAACGCACGTGCACTATACTAGTTTTTATATATAAAAGAGGATTGACTATTCAAACAATATCTTTATATTGGTTGTGATTCCATCTTGATACTATAGTTTCCGTAATTTTACATGTAATAACAATTTTTACTATTCCAACAAGATAGTAGATATTTAATACTAAATTTTTTTATTTAATGGTTGTTGTAACCTTCATGCACGATATATTAAGAATCAATATACCATAAGTAAATATTATATCGTAAGTGAATATTTGAGAATCAGTAATGTAAAATAAATTATTTACTAATACTTCTTAAGCCAAATATGCCACGTGCAATACATACTAGTGTGTGTGTATCATACTCCCTTTAAAAATACGAGCTTGGGAAAATCTTCTCATAGTCAATATTACCCTTAACTTTTTTAAATATTACATTGTTATCCTAATCTATTTTAATTATCCTATCGTCTTTAAATTAGCAACTAAATGATTTATCCTATTCATAATGAGACTTAACATGTTATTGGATAAAAGAGATATATTTCATATAATGCAAATCATTTACTTATTTCAGTTCGTAGAGAAATCTAAAAGACATAGGCTAGCTAGCACATAAAATTCTTTGGACTTTGCAAATACACCCCTACAAATTCAAAATTCTATTAAAACATCATGAAAATTATAAATTTTACTTATTTCAATTCAGTGAGAAATCTGAAAAACATATGCTAGCTAGAAACTAAATTTTTTTTGAGTTTGCAGAAAATATTTTGTAAGTTTTAAAAATTATAAAAACACCCCTAAAAATTTAAAATTTATAAAAAAATATTAAAAATTTCAAACCTATAAACACACTAAAAGCCTATAAATAACACAAACAACCCCTAAAAATTTATGAAATTTGAAATAAACACTCTAAACTTTTTATAAGTTACAAAATAAAACCCTCAAAATTATAAAATTTATAAAAAACCTGATAATTTCCAACCTAACCGTACATTAAAAATATAAAAAATATAAATATCCCCTACATAATTTATAATTTATAGAAAACACCCTTAAAGTTTCAAAAGTTACAAACAAAACCTTAAAATTTAAAATTTATAAAAAACACCATGAGAATTTCAAACTCATTAGTAAATTGAAAGCATATGAATTATAAATAGTCTATAAATAATTTACAATCTATAGAAAAGGCCTATAAGTTTAAAAAAATTATAAAAAACCCCTAAAATTTATAATTTACAAAAAAGACACCATAAGAATTTCTAACCTATAGACACTAAAATGAATATGCAAAGTTATTAACAACCCTTAGAAAATTAAAAAATTTCAAAAAATATCATACACCATTTATAAGTGTAGGTTTAGGAAAAATATTTTCATGGTAAATATCATTCATAATCTTTTTAAAAAAGAACATAGCTAATTAAAAATCTATTAAATTTGATATTTATAAAAAACACCTTATAATTTCAGTACGTTGCAAATTACCCCTCCAAAGTTTAAAATTTTTTAATAATTTTTTGTAATTCCTTGATTTCAATGTAATGTTTAATAGTTTTGTGTATTTGTAAATTATAAAATTTTAGGGTGTTTTTTTATAATTTTAAAAATTTTAAAGGGTGTTTATTTTATGGTTTTCTAAATTTTCATTGTGTTTTCAGTGCAATGCATAGATACGTTAATTAATGATGATATTGAAGAGTAAGTTATTCTTAAGATTATTAGGCCTTAGTTAAGTGTGCACATCACTATTCCAGGTAGTATAGTTTATATATGAAAAATTTTCAAACAATCTATATAGTGATCAAAATAGATTTTGACTTTAATGTATTATTTGTTATAAATTACATTAATGTGAACCCACCATATTATTTTGATCCTAGTCATCATAATTTTAATACATTTGATTGATTGACTATATATGTATATAGACCATAGATTACTTTACTTTCTCACATGAGCTAATATTTGGCGCTTAATAATTTAAATTGTTACTTTTAAAATTAATATAAAGAGGAGCTCTATTAATATTTATTTATTTCCTACTAGATAATACAATCTCAATGTTTATTTTTTGCTTGAGATTTCGATAGTTATGTGTATCAAATTAGTAACTAAAATAATTATTATTTATGCTTAAGGATGATCGTAGTTAGTCCCTCACTATGGAATTTTTATGAAGATGTATCCCTTACTTTCTATAGCTATATGCATTGCCCATGTATATTTTATAAATTGGTTGTAAATTTAATATATTAAATTATTTTTCCTTTGTAGAAATTTCTTTTTTTTGACTTTTGGACAATGTAATCACTATATTATCATTCTAGCATAGAAATGACCTCACTCTAAATGGCTTCAAGTCAATATTTGAGTTCAATTGAAGTATATACTATTACTACTATGTGTATATACTTTTTTTAAGAAAACCATATCAACATTTTTTAAATAGAAGAGAATATTCTAATCTCTAATATTATAAAAACTAAATATAGCCAATTGAGTGACTAGAAAAAGAGAACTTACATCAGAAAAACGTGAATAATAAGATAAAGAGAAAATGTAATAACGTTGTCAATAGTACTAGCTACAAATAGCAAACTATAGTATAAAGTTAACCTATTTTGTGGAGCCCAACTATTGGCTATAAGCATCGAGGTTTTCATATATGTACTTTATAACTTATTAAAAAGGGTCATATGATCTTATATAATAAATTTGATTTTATACTGAATAGTAATATCATTATAGTAATATCGTTATGGAAAAATTCTTCTAGGAACCAACAGAATGAAGCTTGAAAGTCTCATTAGAAAATGGCACGCTAATTATGCAAAAATGTGCAGCATACCTTTCACCGTTATAAAGGGGTGGAGGGTGTCGTCATTTGCGTTAAGTGATCTAAGAAGAGCCTTGGTGTTCCTTACAATTGTTCTTCTCTATCAAATATTCTACAGGTGTATCAACTAGTATTTGTGAGTAGGGGGTGGAAATGAACTAAATATTTAACTATTTAATATATAAACGAATAGAATTTAACTATTTGATTCGTGTTTAATGAACTATTGTTTATATAATACACTTTAAAGCTATGGATTTTAGACATTATATTGTTTATGCATCCCAAAAGTTTTCTACACTTGTAGCGTCATAAAACTAGTTTTTGATTTATGAATTTTATATTTATCCCTAGGTTGCATATTCATAAGTTGTATTATGTTTGGCTACATTACTAGATTAGGATGGGATAATAAATATTTACCGAATACTTACTGAATAATTGGTAAAAAACTACATAAACACTTTTAATGAATATTCACGAATAGTTTGTCGAATATTTGAGTACTAATCGAATTGAATTCAAATATACACTTCCTATTCGTTTCAAATTCACGAATATGAACCGAATACGAATACTAATAGCGGGGTATCTGATTCAAATTCGGTTCATTACCGCTGCTCCGTGAGCATCAAAACACATGGTTGGTGGTTTTGGTAGAAGAAGAGTTTGACTTGGTAGATTGTAGAGGGGTGAGTGAGAGAATTCTTTCACTTTGTAATACTGTTATCCTGATAATGAAAATTTCTTTTACTCGTGTACGTAAGCTTAGATTAAAACATGTAAAATTTGGTGTCTCCATTCTATTTCTTTTTCTTACCTATTGTGAGGTAGGATCAATTTTGGCTCAATAATTCGTACATTTTTTGATCGTATTTGAACTAAGTATGCCACGCGTTTATTAGATACGTCATAAGTTCAAAAAAAAAAATCTAAAAAAAAGAAAAAAATTCTTACTTTAGGGGCTGTTTGGTTCGTTTCCTTGATATAGAGAAATGCAATTCCATGTAAAGAAACACAAGTTTTGAGTTTTCTAAACTTTTCCAAAAAATAGATTGTTTTGCTTTGGTTCACACATAAAAAATGGTGGGAAACCAATGTATTTATTTTTCTTGTGTTTGGTTCGCATAGAAAAAAAAGGAAAACTTTTGTAAACAAAGCAGTGAAGGAAAAAAAATCTGACGTGGCATAGTTTTCATCAATTTCACTTGGTTGGGGAAGGAAATCGGAGAGGGAAAATATCTTAGTTGGCGGCGATTTCAGCAGAGTTTTCCCTCTTCCATTCGAGCGAACCAAAGCGGCACAAAGAAATTGACGGAAACAAAAAAAGCTGACGTAAAGGACTAAAAATCTGACGTTAAGCTTTTTTCTGAGTTTTTCACCCCTTATAATAGCGAACCAAACAGCCCCTTAGCTAACAATACATAGCTTCCAAAATTTATATATATTCCAACAGAAATAAACTGCTTGACATTCAGTTTCAAGGGCAAAACTGGAAAAATAAAAAAATAAAAATACAGTCCGTAATCCATATCTCGGGGGTTTTGTGATGCGATGCGATGCGATGCGGTGAGCTTTAGAGTTTTCTCACGCCACAGAGAACCGAAAAAAGGCGCAATCGCAGATCGAAGAAGAAGAGGAAGCAGCATCTTTGAAATCTAACACTCTGGATCAATCTCAACCTCGTGGTAAGCCCTCTATACTCATTATTTTACTTGAATCCGACGAATTTCTCAACAATTTACAATTAGGGTTTGCTTTTCCCCCCATTTCAAATCAACCCCTTTAACCCGTGTTTTTGATGAGTTTCTCAATTTGGGTCTCTCTTTATTTCGATGAATAGGGCATTTCTACACCTGCCCCTTGATTTTGAGCTTGTATGGGTTAATGGGTAGCTGTTAATTTCTACTGAAGTCCATTGATCGTGGGAGGCAAAAAAATCAAATCAACCCCTTTAACCCGTGTTTTTGATGAGTTTCTCAATTTGGGTCTCTCTTTATTTCGATGAATAGGGCATTTCTACACCTGCCCCTTGATTTTGAGCTTGTATGGGTTAATGGGTAGCTGTTAATTTCTACTGAAGTCCATTGATCGTGGAAGGCAAAAAAAAAAAAAAAAAAAATCTACGTTTTGTGGTGAATAGTTCTCTGTTTCTATTGAGTTCCACCGTTTTGAGAATTACCCAATACCCTTGGGATGTTAATTTTTGCTGTTATCTATCAAAACAATGCGATGGGTACATTTATCTTTGAAGAAAAAAAAAATTCTGCTCTCTAATTTGCTACTCAGGTTTTGTGCATTTCACAGGGCCAGTGATTATTTACACAAAATGATGGATGGAAATGGTAATGATGGGAGTGGATTGATTGAAGACCATGTCGTTATGGAAGTTGACAGCATCAACTTCTGGGCCACACTGGCTGGCAGTCCCCACGTCCATCCTGTCGACCCCACCGTTCACTCTGTGCAAACTCATCACCACCACCAACACCACCACCATCATCATGAGCAAATGGAACCTCAGCTCGAACTCGTTGAACAACCTGTGAGAAGAGAATTGTTTGCAGTTGAAACCGATCCGAGACTTGAACCCTTTCTTGGCATGGAATTTGATTCTGGGGAGGCAGCAAAAACCTTCTACATTGCTTATGCAGGACGTATCGGCTTTTCTGTTCGGATTGCACGTTCACGTCGATCAAAGTGTAATGAGTCGGTTATTATGCTTCGGTTTGTATGTTCGAGAGAGGGTTTTAGCAGGGAGAAGAGGATCATTGCTGGTAAAAAGACTAGAAAAAGAGCAGCATCTATTAGAGAGGGTTGCAAGGCAATGTTGGAGGTGATTCGAAGAGGTGACGAGAAGTGGGTGGTGACTAAACTAGTGAAGGAGCACAATCATGAGGTTGGGATGCCGAGCAGAGTGCATTATATTGCAACGGAGATAGAAGGGGAAATCGAGCCTTATATTGGGATGGAGTTTGAGTCACTCGAGATGGCGAAAACATTCTACTATGCATATGCTAGCCGTGTGGGATTTGAAGCTCGTGTTCGACAATCACGCCGGTCATTGCTTGATGAGTCACTTAAGATGTTAAAATTGGTGTGTTCGAGGCATCGTTACCATTCAGGGAGAGATAACACTGGAGATGATGGAAGAAGGTTAATTCAGGATCCAGGAAAAGAAGGATGTGAGGCATTATTTGAGATAATTAGGAAAGACAATGGTGTGTGGATGGTTTCTAAACTTGTTTTAGAGCATAGCCATGAGCTGACACCATCTCCTCCTAGCAAAGTGCGATGCATTCGTTCACAAGGAGAGATACTTGTTATTGCCAAAAACTTTTCTGATACTCGTAATCTTCTGTTAAATGGCCAAGATACACAGTCCTATCTTAGGGAGATCCGCTACAATGACTTGGGAGCAGAAGATGCCCAAATTTTTCTTGAGTATTTGAAGAGAACTCAAGAAGAGAATCCTGCATTTTTCTATGCTGTACAAGTTGAGAACAATGGCTGTATGACTAACATCTTCTGGGCTGATGCTAATGCTAGGATGGCATACAACTACTTTGGTGATGCTGTTACGCTTGATATGACCTATAAGAGCAATAAGGAGCTGATGCCTATTGTTATTTTTACAGGTGTCAATCATCATGCACAACCTGTAGTTTTTGGGTGTGCACTACTCGTGGATGAATCAGAGTCATCATTTGTTTGGCTTTTTGAACAATGGCTTGCAGCAATGTCTTCAAGAGAGCCAGTCTCACTTGTAACTGGCCTAAATAGAGTTGTGGCAGGCGCAACTGCAAAAGTACTTCCAAGCACTCGCCATTGCTTTTGCAAGAGGCAGATCTTGACCACTATCCAGGAAGAGCTACCAGATTTATTTTCTGCACATTGCCTCTTCGAGGAGGAACTCCTGAAATGTATCGATGACTCTGAAACAGCTGAATCCTTTGAAACTTGTTGGGATGCCATAATCGATAAATATGACATAAGGGACAACACATATCTTCAGTCCTTATACAACATTCGTTTTCAATGGGTTCCTGTATACTTGAAGGATACATTCTTTGCAGAGATGTATGATTCTCAAAGGTCGGAAGATATCGAGAAGATCATTGAAAAGTGCTGCACTGCAAAAACCTCATTGAGGGTGGCTGTTAGGCAACTCGGACAGGCGTTGGCAAGTAACTATGAGAAGGAAGCCCAAGCAGATTTCGCTACGATGTTTGATAAGCCTTTTCTTAGAACTGCTTCACCAATGGAAAAACAGGCAGCTGGTATTTACACTAGGACGATATTTGACAGGTTTCAGGAGGAATTTGTTGAGTCTTTTGCTTATCATTTAGTCAAAATTGAGGATGGGACAGTCAGCAGGTATCATGTGGCAATAAACGAGGAGGATGAGGAGACATACACAGTCACTTTTAATGCTTCTGAAACTAAAGCACATTGTAGTTGCTGTATGTTTGAAGTAGCTGGAATATTGTGTAGACATGCACTGAAAGTCTTCATTGTGAATGGTGTTCGTACACTTCCGAGAGAGTACATCTTGAAACGGTGGACAAGACATGCAAAAAGTTCTGCAGTAGGAGAGGAATGCGGTGTTGAGCTTCGAGGTAATTGTGCAGAGCCTTCATCTGCAAGATATAATGATCTTTGTCGTGATGCTGTTAGATGCGCAAGAGAGGGAGCAACATCTGCTGAACTCTATAATCTAGCAAAGGATGGACTACAGAAAACTTTTGCTGAAATAGTCTCAGCAAAACAGAAGAGGGAGCAACAATCTTTGCAAAGTTTTATAAAATCTCAAAAGAAGCACACCAAAAAACTTGGAAAGGTGACACCAAAAAAAGATCCTTCCGGGAAAAATGGGAAGAGGACAGCACCAAAATTATCGCCAGATAATGACTATAGGTGACTCAAATGTATTGTACACGATTAAGTAAGGTTTTCGATCATGTTGTCCGTATCAAATTGCCTATATATCCAACTTGAAAATTAGATTGCTGCATATGTTTTAATTTGAGCAACTTAGATAAGAATAGATTTCAATCTTTTTCACTTGTGTTAGAAGGACTATGTCTCTGAACTTTAAATTCTAAATGGGTATCCTTTTCCCTTGAATGAAATGGTCATATATGCCATCTTAGAATTATTAGATTCTCTATCATTTATAATTCATTGACGAAGCATTATGTGTACACCATGTGCATGTTTTTAAGTTTGTTTACTTGTATCACTATGTAGGCATTTCGTAACCTATCAGTGGATTTCAACTAACATTCCGTGAATATTATGGAGCAGTACAATGGTCTTAGCGGGAATTTCTTAGGGGCCCTTTTAACTGACAATTGCTGAAAGATACTTTTGAATGACAAGCATAGCACCGTTACTTCGACACCTATTTTTAGTTGTGAATAAGTTAAAATTTGTTTACAGATATATATCTTTTCGTTGGAATTCCAAACGCCTATATAGTTCCTGACTGGTTTGTGTGTTAAGTAAACTAATCGTTGAACTGATGGATGCAATCACTTTCTCTATTACTATTGTTGTTTTTTCTCTGAATATTTGTTCTACTAAATTAACCAATTAATATAATTTCAAATATCGTCTTTATTATTTTTGCTCCTTGTTTGAGCTTAACTTGCAGGACTACTAACATGAGTTTTCCTAGCTGCCAAGCAACCTTCTATGCTTCTCGGTAAGTTCTTTGCTTGTAAATTACCTGCCCTACAAGTTTACCACTATCTGTCTGGTATTGTTGTTGAAGTTGCAATTGACATGTTTTAGTTTGTTTTGCAAATGTCACTTGAATACGAAGTTACATATCATACTTATAGTTATCCCTTACAAAACTATTTTGTTTAGAAAGTATTATTCTTCAAATTAGTGGAATACACTACTATATCTGTTAGTTACAATTGGGAGTGAAGGTGGAGGACGAGAGAAAAGAGGGTCAATAGTGGAGAAAGAGAGATTTAGTAGCCATAGGACAGGTTCTTTTCTAAACCATTAATTACAATAGTGACCCCAAATCTAAATCAGTCAAATATCTGTTCTGCAATAACCACATGTCCTTTATTTGAAATATCCAAAGAAGTAACGAAGTCATTGTGAGGAAATGACAAGCTCAGAGATTGATTCACCCATTCTTTAATGATCTTTTAGAAAGTTGCCTCTCCCAAAGTCAAATCTATTCATACATAAATAGCATAATCACTACTGGATAGCAGCCTTTAGTGGATGACTTAATTCGTGTATCTCCATATGTAATATACACTGAGTGCTGATGACAAAAGGAGGCATGCTTCGGTCAGGAAATCCCTTTGCTATTGTTTTCTGTTCTAATTTTACTTTGTAATGGTCCATAATTAAATTGTAAATCAGTGGTACCATTGAAAAGCAAATACTGAATTTTTAAAATATGATAGTTGTTTCAGTTGTCTGGCACCATATGCACAATATATGCTCTGGAAGTCCATAAAACCGCTGGGATGCACTGATGAAATAAAGAAGTACTTCTATTATGAGTTATACCACTTTTGATTGCTTTGTAATGGATACATTCTAAAATATATTATAATTAATAATTCTTACTCACATCCAGCATATGATATAACTGGGTTTATGTTTATGTATATTCTGCTAATGTTGGAGTAAGCTTTATTGCATCTACGGAAATCATTATATGTTTTCTGAATGTATCTTTTCCTAGTAATTGCTGACATTTTCCAGCCACTGTAAGTTACGTATGTGAAACCTCAAGAATTCAACTTCATCCTGCTCAGTAAACTGGAGTGATTATTCTACATACAATGGGGTTAACTGCAACTCACTTAAGGTACTATTCATATCTTCATTTTTTGTTTGTGTATTTCAAGTTTTGCTTGAAAGGATATGATAGTGGTTAATTAAGTGGAGGAGCTAGCCCTTAAAAGAATTAAATGGAAGAATAGGATTCATGCAGCCAATCCTGAATGTTTGGGATAAAATCTTTGCTGTTGTTGATGTTGATTTTGATATCTTACTCGAAACATTCAATATTAAGTAGGCATGTGCAAAGTCAGAAAGTGTTTCATTCTTGTTTATTTATCAGTTATATGATATTTTATCATTTGGTAGACAATAATCTATATGATGTCACCCTTCTAGTTACCCATTACAGGATGATTACTAACATTTCTTGCACACCTTGTGAACTTTGTGATTCTTCATTGTCTTTTCTGATCAACCTGCAGTTGCATCATTTTTGGACTGATCTATATGCAATGATTGTAAATTTTTACACGCTTGTTATTAGTCTTGAGGGGTGCCCTATTAGTTGAAATGGTCAAGGGTTTATATCTTGTAATCCCTCCTCTTTTAGCAATTATGTAAACCTGAGAATGTGTTCAGGCAGCAAATTGTTCATGTGATTCCGGTATCATGATTTTTTTGGTCTTTACATATCCCCTAAAAACGGTTTCAAAATGTTCTTATTTAGGCATTACAATTTGTCCTCGGTTTCTTTGGGAAATGGGAAGCCAAATTGAGTTGTCACTTGATTTAGAAATCCATCGTACTATTTCCTAAACTTCTAATAAAGAGTGATTTACTTTAGAACTGCCGTATCCTCTGCTCGTGCATTTTGTTCTACCTGCTGGTGATTAACTCATGGTTATGACTGCTATTTGTGAACTTTATTTTTACTTGTATGGCTTCAACACCGGTATTTTCATCTTGATAGCCCCTGATATAGTATTTGTAGCTATGGATGTCCACATATAACTGAAATTATGGATGGCTTGACACTTACCATGATGATTTTCATTTTTCCATGTCCACCCAATAATTGAATATGCATATTTCAAAATTCATAGGCTAATTAATGATTTTTGTCCATTTTCATTCCTTACGTTTAACAAAAATTTAAGCACATGAATTTCTAAATTCACGATTTCATGGACTATAACCCATGATTGTTCATTTTCGTTCGTTTTGACCCAATATTAATTTTGTGTACTTCAAAATTAATGATTTCATGAGTTGTAACCAATGATTTTTATCTATTTTTGTTCGTTTCGACCCAATGAGAATTAATATGTGTAATTAATAATTCACGATTTTCATGTGACCTAACACATGATTTTTATCCAATTTCGCTCGATTTTGACCCATAGCAATTAGGTAACTGTATTTCAAAATTCGCGATTTGGGTCATTTTCGTTTGTTTTGACCTAATACCAGATAATTAGACGCATTTCAAAATAAGCAATTTTATGAGCCATAACCAATGATCTTTTGTCCATCTTTGTTCATTAGGATCCAATGACAATTAATTATGATTATTTTAAAATTCGTGATTTTCATGAGATTTAATTCACGTTTTTTGTCTATTTCGTTCCTTTTGACCCAATGACAGTTAAGTACCCATATTTCAAAATTCGCGATTTCATATGCTATCGCCTAGGTTGCATAGATTCAGGTGTGGGCATGAGTGCGGACACAAATACAGACACGAGACATGGTAAATTTGTAAAAGATAGGATCCATGGACAGAAAAAACTCATTGATAGTAAATAATAACAACTGCACAGAATAATAGTTGTCAGTAATTAGAAATCTAAAACAAAGAAAGAACAGTTAAATTACACATTAGACACATAGGCAAGCAGCAAATTAGATATTTTAGTTAGAGTTTAAATTGAAAACCCATAAATAGATTAGAAATCTCAGCTCATCGAAGAAAAGGGAGAAACTCAATTGACATGTCAATTAGATCTCAAAATCAGAAAACCCTAAAGATTATCTCATTGAAGAAAAGGGAGAAACTCAATTGATATGTCAATTAGATCTCAATATCAGAAAACCCTAAAGTTTAAAAATACTAAACTAATTACTGCTTTAGGTTTTAACCCAGTATCCAAAAGAACCCAAAAGAAGGGAGAAAACAGCCTAAAAGAAAATATACATGTCGTATCTATGGAGTGTCCGCACCCGACACGTGTCGGACATGGGTGAGGCCCTAGAGTACGTGCCGGACATGGGTGAGGCCCAAGAGTTGCTGAGTTGGGGTATCCTTGGCTACACCCATAATTTTTGTTCATTTTCGTTCATTTCGACCAATTCCAAGTATTGCATATTAAAAAATTATCGATTTTCATAGGCACCCATGATTTTTGTTCACTTTCGTTCTTTTCGATTCAATGACATAGAAGTACGTGTACTTTAAAATTCATGATTTTCATGGATCCATGTTTTTTGTTTTTTTTTTTTTGTTTGCTTAGACCCAATAACAATTAAATATGCAAATTTGTTATTAACATGAGCTACAACCTATAATTTTTGTCAGTTCTTGTTTATTCTTCCCATGATAATTAGGTACTCGCATTTCAAATTCGCGTTTACGTAAACTAACATGATTTTTATTTATTTTCATTCGTTTTGACCCCAATGACAATTAAATGTGTACTTAAAAATTCGCGATTTCATAGGTTAATCCATGAGATTTTTTTACTTTTGTTCTTTGCAATCCGATGACAATTAAGTGTGTGTATTTTAAAATTTACGATTTCATGAATTATAACCCATGATTTTTTCCCATTTCGTTAATTGCTATTCAATGACAACTAAGCTTGCATACTTCAACATTCTTAACTTTTGTGGACTATGTTACTCATGATTTTGCCAATTTTTGTTCTGTTTGACCAAATTGCAATTCAATAAGCGATATTTTTTGACTTTTTTCATTCATTTCGATCAAATAACAATTAAGTATGTATACTTCAAAATTCATGATTTTCATTAGCTTAATCCCACGATATTTGTCCATCTACATTCTTGTATTTTAAAATTCGTTGTTTCATGGGCTATATAACCCACGATTTTTGTTTATTTTTGTTTATTTTGACCTATTGGAAATTAAATGTGTATTTTAAAATTCGCGATTTTATTGGTTATAACCTATGATTTCTATTCCTTTTCCTTTGTTTTGACCCAACAACAATTAAGTATGCGTACTTAAAAATTAAGAATTTTCATAGATTGTAACCCCACGTTTTTTTATTCACTCTTGATATTTTCAATCCATTGGCAATTAAATATGTGTACTTCAAAATTTTACGATTTAATGAGTAATAACTCATGATTTTTTTTCTATTTTCGTTCATTTTG